TTCCTCACACCGTAAAAGCACGCGTCTTCTTGCACATAGACATTTGAGAGATAGGGTTCAGTGGCTCATGTTTCGGTGGAAAGAGGCGCACTAGTCAAATTGAATATGAAAGCACCACGCTTCATCAGATTTCGTATACGCATGCCTATGGGCATGCAAAGTGCCGCTCATGTTCGTTACGAAATTATGGCTCTATTCCCAGTGCCTCGCCGCGCTTATTGTGCCTCCCGCGCTTATTGTGCCTCCCATGTCTATGTGCTCCGTTACCCACTTATACAGTGCACGCTCGCTGATGTTGGTGAACGCAGCCGTTCTCTTAATGAGAGAGCTCACGCTTGCATTTCTGCCGCCCTCCTTACGCAGTGTCCCGAACAGATTTAGAGCCAACTGCTTCGCTTCCTTGTCGTAAAAGCTGATCCTGGAACAATATCGCACAGGTGAACCAGGCGCAGCTATTTTGACAGAAGTGACCAAATCTGCCACCGCGGACTAATCAAAACTTAGAACTGGGTCATCTGCGGCGCTGTGGATGTTCGGGCTGTGCGGACTACTCACAAAGGTTTAGACAATGTCATACCATTCCTTCATACATTATAAGTAAAAACATGATACATACGAGCCACAACAGTGTTATTTCTTTCGTCATTTGCATAACACGTACATGCAAGAACTCTTTCTTCAGTATCATGGAGCCACGAAAATTAAATGCGATAAAATCATCATACAATTTACAGCTACAACACGCAGAGAAGCCTTCAAGTAAAAATCCTCCGCCGAGACCGCTTGCAAAAGTCTTGAGGACAAACAATTGGCTACGTATATGGGGCACTACATCTCGCTTCGCAACAACATGCGTTCGAGGGTCCTGTAGCATTGGCTCTGCTGCATAGAACTTCTGGAACAGAGTATAGATGGTGGATCGGACCTAGAATTTGTAGGGTGCTTGGTGCTGCAGACTGATAGATTATTGCCCCATAGTCTAAGCGAGTGAGGCATTTATACAAGTTCATCAGGCGTTTTTTGTCACTGCCCCAAATAGTGTCTGACAGAACTTTCAAAACATTCATTGTTATTCTGCATTTGTTTGTTAAATTTTTTACATGTAATATGAAAGTTAGTTTACTATCCAGGATTAGGCCTAAGAATTTGTGCTCAGTTTTCACAGTGAGATGTTGACCATGTAGGTCAATATCTGGCTCAGGATAAAGGCCGCCCTTATGGGAGAATAGGACGCAAGTGCTTTTTTGAGCATTAAAACTGAAACCATTCTCTGCCCACCTTGCGACCTTGTTCAGACCTAGCTGGACTTGCCGCTTACACATCGAAAGATTGCATGATTTCAAACCAATTCGCCGATCGTCGACATATGTGCAATAAAATAGATTTCGTAGGATGTAAAAATGCAAGGAGTTCATTTTGATGATAAAAAGTGTACAAATAAGTACACCACCTTGAGACACTCCTATTTCATGGACAAATGTTCGGGACAAATCATTGCCTACTCAAAGACCAAACTTGCGGTTGAACAAGTAACTTTCAATTAGGATTAGCATTCTATCACGCACGCCAAGGTTAGATAAGTCTCAATATTCCTAAGCGCCATGTGGTGTCATAAGCCTTTTCCATATCAAGGAACACAGAAAGACCATTGGTTGTGTATGAAAGCATCTCGGATCTGTGTCTCGATATGTACCAGGTGGTCAGTGATGGATAAACCTTCTTGAAACCTGCACTAGAATTAGTCAAGCAGATTGTTTGTTTCTAGAAAATATACGTCTGCAGTTTATCATCTTATCGAAAAGCTTGCATAGGCAGCTTGTTAGAGCAATGGCCTTGTAGCTGGCAACGAAGGATGCATCTTTGCCTTGTTTTAAAATGGGGATGACATAGCCTCTTTCAAACAAGTAGGCATCTCTATGGAAAACCAGATAGCATTGTACAGGGAAAGTAGGGTTTTTGTGTTTTGAGAGTTAGGTTTTTAGCATTTCATATACTACACAGCGTGAACCTGAGGCGGATTTATTGGAACAATTAAGCGAGGACATTAGTTCAGGTAAACAAAAAGGTTCATTATATGCTTCGTATTTTGTACATTTTCGCTCCAGTTTCTGGTTTTCTATTCTTGTTTAGTAGGGCTGAAAGGCCTCAGAGTAATGCGATGAGCTCGACACCTGTTGGAAGTGTTCGCCCAGGGAGTTTGCCTGGTCTTCCAAGCTGTCGCCCTGTGTCTTAGCCAGTGGGAGTGAATGTGCCTGTTTTCCTATTCCTCTACTAACCCCTTTCCACTTTTCAGTCTCATGAGTATATGAACTGATTCCAGATAGAAACTTCTGCCAACTTTCCCTCCGTCTCGCTTGTTGGCGCGTCCTCCTGACTTCCGACTTTATGTTCTTAAAGATAGCGAGGTTTTCTGCTGTTGGATAGTCCCGCAGCAACCTTCAGGCTTTGTTTTTTGTTTTTTGCGTGCATTTTGACAGTCGTTATTCCACTATGAAACAAGTAATTTTCCGGACTGTCCATTTGTTTGTGGGATGCATTTTGTTGCAGTGTCGATCAGAAAAGCTGTAAAGTAATGGACAGCAGCTTGTATGCTTAAGATACACGAGTCAGTCCAAGAGTGAGGTTTCAAAACTGTTTCCAATCGGCTGCATCCAAATGCCATTTGGAAACTTGTGGCTTACAATTATTGGCAAGTGGTCACTTCCATATGGATTCCCAGTAACTTCCCAGTTAAGGAGGGGAAGAAGAGACAGAAACGCAATGCTGAGATCTATGAAGGAGAGTGTTCTATTTGCGATGTTGTAATAGGTTGGATTACAAAGACAAGCAGCATAAGAAAAAACATTTTTCAATTAGGCGACCTCACGCATCGCAACAAGTCACCCCAGAGACTGCTATGTACATTGAAGTCCCCAAGGTTCTCGTAGCTGATCTGTTAAGGACTGGAATTCATTTTTTTGTAAATTGTGGTGTGGAAGTATGTAGACTGAGCAGATTGCGGTTAGTTCATTGAAGATAATGGCTTGAACAGCCACTGCCTTAAGGAAAGTTTGAAGTGGTAAATGCGTGCATGCTATTCCTTGATTAACAATATCTACACCACCAAATGATGCCATTGCATCATCTCCATCCCTTCGAAAAAATGGTGAAGTTCTGTAGAAAGTTTGTGCATTTTACTTTCAAGTGGGTCTCGTACACACAACACTTTTGGATTGAGTTTGTGGAGCAGTTCTTGTAGGTCATCAAGGTTTCTGAGAAGGCCTCGAATGTTCCACTGTAGTATTTGTGTCTGCGTGATGAGCTAAGAATGGTGCTGTGTGCACTTTAAGGTTCAATAGACAGGATTATTGTCCGGCTCCGCTATTGGCTTTGTTTTCTTGACACCGGTGTTGTGGCACCAGAGGTACCGGTGTTGTTTCCATTGTCTCCTGAGAGGCACTGGAAGACCACACGCGTGGGTCTTCAGTTCGAGTTTGAGGTCTCGCCTGGTGTGACAAGGCCTTGGGACCCGACGGCCCTGGAGTCCCCGGTTCCTGTTCACGAGTTTGCGAAATTGACTTAAAATTAGTGCCGTCTTTGGGGCAGCCGCCACAGCCATCAGCTCGCCCTGCGTGGGCCGAGCAAGTGGCGCAGGCTAGTGCGGCACTGCCCCTGATGCACCACATCAGCGTAGGTTGGGTCGTAGAATGGTGAGCACCTCCTCCTAGCCTCCCTGAAGATGTTTTCCGTCACTCTCAATGTCCTTTTCTTTCTTTCACACTGGACACGATCGGGAGTATGCTGGGTGGTCACCACCGTAGTTCGCACAGTGACATGGACAATTGCATTTCTCGAAGATATGGTCTTTTGATGCACATTTGGCACATGTGGATGGCCCTCGGCCAGCAAGGGAGCCATGACCGTACTGTTGACACTTGAAGCACCTTCACGGGTTTGGTACGTATAACTGCACTCGTAGTTTAGTGTAGTCTGATCTTTATTCTTTGAACGTTTACAAAATTTTGCTCTTTCCATCCTTTAAGGAGCTCAGCTTCAGTTAGATGTATGCACCAGACAGTGACAGTAATGTATTAGGTTACAGCGCTGCTGTAGCGCTGCTGTAACCTAATATGGAATAGCCAAGACTGGGCATCCACACAAGGTTACTCTTGCTGCCAGGAAAGATCAGATGTAAACGGAAAAGAGAAGTAGACAGGAAAGATAAAAAAGTGCAAAAGAAAGACAAAGTTCGGGAGACAGAGAGGCAGGAAAAGGCGACTGCCGATTTCCCCTGGGTGGGTCAGACCAGGTGTGCCGTCTACATGAAGCCGGGGCCAAAGGTGTGTGTTGCCTCTGCCGGGTGGCCTTAAAGGTCCAGTCACCCGGCATCGGCTCAACCCCCAAGATCTCCTTTTCTACGGACACAACTCAGCCACGCACGGTTAGGCGTGGGAGTGAGTGACAACCCACCTCGGGTCTGTGGTGTCACTATGCACCTGACGCCCCTGTGATGGTGCACATGGTTCTTGCTTGCGAAAGTAGCGCCGATGCCCCGGAACCATTTAGGACAGTGAGGTGACTCGAGGGGAAGTGCAAGTGCCTGCCAGTGTGCGTTGGTTTCACTTCCCTGACCATCATAGTCACCCCTGAGGAAGATACCAAGCCGGTCTCGAAAGTCGGGTTTTCTCCAAGATTGTGGCTGGAGGTAACTAAACTTCCTTAATCTTCTACCAGCCAGACAAACTTCTGACAAAATGTTTACATTAAAATAGTTTTGGGCGTGTATTATTTTTTTAAACTGTTGTACAAAGTGCTGTTATGAAATCACAGCAAGGAAACGCAGCTGCTTCGAGAAAAAAAAGTGCTAAGATTTCACATGACGGGAGGCTCTTGCTTTCTATGCGTACTGGCACATTTCATTGAGCTTTGTGACTGGTAGGTCAAAACATGTCGTGTAGACGAGGCGGTCTAAGAAATGACACAAGTCGTCCAATGTTCAAGCTACAAATGAAATGACCGAATAAATATTTCAAACAGAACAAAACCTTTACTGCATAAAAATGTGGCAGTGTAGTGGCCGGTGAAGACGAGATCAATCGGGCGAGGCGAACCTGTGCACGGCACAGATGCCATCATCGGACACGCTCACTACACGCTGACCATCCGGGCACAGCACCAGGTCTAAGATGTCGTGCCGGTGTGCCCTCCAGCACAGGGCCGGCTCTTGCGGGGTGCGCACGTCCCAGGAACGCACGGCACCGTCCAGGCATCCCGTCACCACGGTGTGCGGTCCCTGCCAGAAGGCACGCGTCACGCCCTCAGGGTGCAAGCAGCTCTGACGCTCGGCCTGTGAGCCCAGGTCCCACAGGGAAAGCCTACCAGAGAGCAAGCCAGCCGCCAGGGTGCGCTGGGCTCCATCGATGCACACCGCTTCCACTGTTGAGGCTTCGTCGCCTGCACATGACAAGAACACGCCCGACAATCACCTCTCGTAAAATGCAAAAGCAAGTGTCCAACTCCCTTTTTTGGGAAATCTGAAACAAGCGTCAGTTACCAAGTAAGTGCACTCTCCAATTAGTGGAAGCCAAATGGACCCTCAATCATTGAGTGGAAAACTCAATTATTTAGTGGGTGTGGCATATCTAATGTGCTAGATGGTTTGGAGGATAGTGCTCCACACACCAGGCTCTACGGTGTCCGGGAAGTACCACCAGAAGACCGCAGCTTTCTCCAGGATGAGTGCCCAGACTTACATTTGCATCCCACTCTGACGAGTTGGTCCAGGAGTTTGAAAGTGACGAGGGGCAATCAAAAAATAAATAAAGCATGGCATTAGAAACATTCAGTACGGGAACAAGTGCCCCCCCCCCCCCCTCCAAATCTGGTAAGATTGTACTTATACATGTGGGGGATGCGCTTGCTCGGCATTTTATGGTAATCAAATCCAGGAAGAAAACTGTAGGTGCAGAAGGACAAAGCAGAAACATGGACAAGCGCACACTTATTAAACTTTTATTAAACTGATGCTTAGCTTCTAAAACAGCCACACATGCGTACACCGACAAAAAATTCACCTACCAGCCAAGAAACCAAACTAATTTTCAAACAAGGACAAAGACGAAATGCTGATGCATTGGCCTCCAATTTGTTTAATATACATCACCTCTGCTAATGTGTTTTTGCTCCTACACAAAATACACAAGCTGTTCACAAGAGGATCCCACAAGCGTTCTTTGCAATGATGCACTCCTGTACCATTTCTTCATAACAGTGCATGTTCTCTAGGTGATCATTTATAGAATTGCCCGACTGTCTGGTGTATACCTTAAGGGGAATTCTATATACAACACCTACTGAACACATTCCCAAAATGAAACAAGTCCAGAAAGGTTCACTGGCTAAAAGCTTTTTATGGGATGCTTGATGAGGCCAATGAACCCTTTACAAGGCAGTTGGGATGATGACATTGTCTGCAGATTATGTCTGATAGACAATGGAGTAACCATACCATACATAGACTACCATTGTAATACTACCATATTATGGTCTAAGAAAAGGTGCATACATAAAACTTGCTACAAAATTTCCTGATACCAAAAATAGCATAGAAGACTTGTTTGTGAGCACAATGCAGAAACAAAAGGGGGGTATACAACACAAGCCCACTAACAATGAAAAAAAAACCCCGAAACATCAGGAAAACTACATGTAAATTTGTCTCCTGAATGTTTGCATTATACAATATTGATATGTGGGACATCCCAAAACCACCATATCATTATGAGAGACGCCGTAGTGGAAGACTCCGGAAATTTCGACCGCCTGGGGTTCTTCAACGTGCACCCAAATCTGAGCACACGGGCCTACAACATTTCTGCCTCCATCAGAAATGCAGCCGCCGTAGCCGGGATTCGATCCCGTGACCTGCAGGTCAGCAGCCGAGTACGCATCATACAATATACATAAGCTGTCAGAAAAAAAGTAATATAAACACTGAGATTCCTATTATAACCTCTTCAGCGGCAATGTGCACAACTATACACATCAATTGTTGCGTCATGAACCATGCATTTCTTCAGGTGACTTGGAATGCGGTGTGCATGAAGGCTTCCTGAATGGACAAGTGGCGATCAATTTACTTTATTGGACAGCATATTGCAGCAGAGGATCTCATTGCTGGACACACTACCATGTTGAACGATCATTTGACATGCCACATTCCATGACCAACATGTCCAGACCATTTTTTTCTTTTGTTCTAAATGAATGCAACCAAAAAATGAGCTGGATGTCTTTTGGGTGTAATATATTGTCACGTGCGTCCCGCGAGAAAGACAAAGGCGACAGTGCATACGCGCATCTGCACGCTTTTATGCAGAACGCAACAACGAGAAAGACGAGGACCTCTCTGGTGCGCGGTAAATAAAAAGACCGACCCACTGCTGCTTTCTCAGCGTCTTCAAATACGACCTCTGTCTTCACGTCACGACACTGATGGAGGTGCTGGGGCCTGCAACCTGATGCAGGAAAGCGTTGTTCGGGGCCGTACACCCACTCCGGAGCCTCAATATCTTGTTACGACTCCAGTACACCGATTCAGCTGGTGCCTACTAGGCCTAAGTCCAGAACTTTTGACTGCATTTCCTCTTACCAACATGGCAGTCGCTTCAAAGTCCGCAAATCTTTTTACGGCCCAGACGACTCATCCTTACCAGGTAACTTTTGAGACTCCTCGTGTTCCCTAGTCTTCCCTGGAGAACCGTATGAAGATGTCGAGGACTGGCTTGACCAGTTTGAGGGGACCGCTGTGGTGAATCGTTGGAGCGTGCAAGAGAAACTTAAACTTGCCTGTGCCTACTTCGCAATGGAAAATAGCGCTCACACATGGTACAAGAACAGGGAGCCTACTTTCCAGGGAGCCTACTTGGCGGGACAATTTCCGCCAAAAGCTGCTCAAGACGTTCCTAAGTGCGGACCGATGAGATCTCGCACGACAGATGATTGAAGCCCGGGAGCAAAAGCCGAACGAAAGCATCGCCATGTTCACTGAGGATGTGGCCCGTCTATTTCTCCGCGCTGACCTTGACATGCCCGAGGCGAGGAAAGTTCGTCACTTGATGCGGGGAGTTAAGGAACCGCTTTTCGCCGGCCTTGTAGGAAATCCGCCAACAACAGTGGATGAATTTATCAAAGGGGCAAAAGAGGCGACTGTCATTGAGCGGGCGCTCCAGCAACGATGCCGCCACTTTGACCCCCTGCCCGACCAAATCCCTGTTGGTGCCGCCGCTCAAAACGCTGCCATTTCCGAAAGCTCTTTACGGCAAATGATTAAGCAAATCTTGCGGGAAAAGCTGCGGGCCCTCGGCCTTCTGTCTACCGAGCCTCCAGTTGCTTCTGTTGCGGAAATCGTGCGCCAGGAACTACGGCAAGCCTTTCCATCACCGGTGCCACCGTCTGAACCACGTCCATTATGCTGATGCCGTCCGCCGTCATCTGCCTGCCCCAGAACAAGCACCCTTTCAGCCACGGCCCGTTACCTTGCCTTGATGGCAGCGGGAACCTGCACGGCGACCACCAGTATGCCTGACTGGCTTGTGGCGCACTGCCGACCGTCGACCCTTTTGTTTCCGCTGCGGAGAACCTGGCCACATCTCGTGCTACTGCCGTCATCGAAAAGCCCGGTTTCGAAACTTTTCTCGTCCCGCTTCATTTTATTTTTAAGACCCTCGTGAACATGGTGCTGATCACCTGCCGACCAACCAAGCGTCTTCACCAAGTCGTCGCTGGCCTGCACGAGGTCACACTTTCTCAAATCGCCAAAGCTACGCTGACGCCGTCTCCGGGGGCAAGGTTGTCGATCACCGAGACGCCAAAAAGACCCCCTTGCCTCTACACAAAGACGTGACGACCGAGATGACGAAGACGACAACAACGACGAGTACTAATGCCGATGAATTTGCACGTGCCAACCCTAGCGTTATTGTAGACGGACACTACGTAACAGCACTGGTTGACACTGGTGCTGACTTCTCTATTATGAGACAAGAGCTCACCTACGAGCTCTTGTCTCGGACGAAATCACCTCCGGTCGCTACACACGAACATTGTCCCGTCTGCAAAACAGTTACTACTGGCCGAACCTACCTGCTGCTGTAAAACATCACGCCCAAACATGTGCCGACTGTCAAAGACGTAAAGCACCCCCCGGCAGGCCATCAGGCTTATTACATTCCGTCCAAGAACCAGCAAAGCCATTCGCCCAAATCGGAATGGATTTCCTGGGCCCATTCCCAACTTCTACCACAGGGAAGAGATGGATCATTGTCGCCACCGATTACTTGTCTCGCTACGCAGAAACTAAAGCCATGCCGAGGGCCACAGCAGCAGAAGTGGCTCATTACTTCATAGAAAACGTCATCCTTCGGCACGGTGCTCCAACAGTTCTCATCACGAATAGAGGAACTGCGTTCATGGCAGAACTTATGGAGTCGGTTCTCAGGCTCAGCAGTACAGCTCACCGGAGAACAACAGCGTACCATCCACAAACGAACTGACTAATAGAGCGGCTTAGTAAGACCCTTGCAGACATGCTCTGCATGTATGTTGACAGAGAACACAAGAACTGGGATGAAATCTTGCCTTATATGACCTTCGCCTATAATAACGCCTGGCAGGAAACAACCGGAATGATGCCGTTTAGTTTAATACATGGGTGCGAAGTCACTACATTGTTGGACGCTATGCTGCCACATGAGTGTGACGACACTCATGCTGACGCCGAAGAAGCCAGACAGTTAGCCTGACGAGGAACTCTCTGGCACGCAAATAAAAAGACCGATCCGCTGCTGCTTTCTCAGCATCTTGAAATACGGCCTCTGTCTTCACATCGCGACAATATCGTTCTTTTTGTGCAGTGATCGAAGCTCTGCATACTGACTGCAAAAAAAAAAAAAATATGTTACTAAATGCTAATTACATTAATTACTGAAACTAACTAAATACAGCACATTTATTCAATATTTTTTGTGAAATATAATACCGAGTGCCTTGACATTATGCCTTGCGAATTTGACGCATTTGTAGACACCGGATCATAATTAGCGCCGGAAGTGTATAAGCAGCAGTTGGCTTCTCTTACATTAGAGAGGCCAGTGGAGGCAGCTGGTGCCAATTAACATGAAACATAACTAATTAGCTCCAAAACAGATGATGAACCAGGTAAAGAAAGTGGACTGGAGACAACGGTAATGCACTACGTCCTGTCAGCTTTCCTCACCTTGTTTGTCTTTGTTCTTTTGATACTTGTTATGTCTCAAGTCAGGAAGCGGGGCTGGCTTAGAAACGAATGAACGCATGCAGTGACGCAAAAACATAGCCGATCCCTTTGTCACAAGAAACGGTATGAGCTCAGTGTTTACTGTGCATTGCTTTTTCACAAGGTCAAAGGAACAATG